GTTCAGTGCTCATGGGAGCAAGAGGGACAGCCGTTGCTGGGGAGGGGACGGGCTTGTGGCACCCACAGAGCTCAGCCTCAGAGGCAAGTGTGACTTTCCCAGGGGAAAAGCGTCCAGAGCAGAGACGCAAAGACCAGGAGGGACGGAAAGAGTCAGCAGGGAAGGCGCAGAAAGTTCCAGCCACTGGGAGCTCTTTGGGCCACCCCCCCCGAACCCCGCCCTCCACCCCACACCCTTGGCAGCCCCGGGAACATCAGGTCTCAGAGACCACGCTAAGGAGTTGTGTTTTTTTTTCCCTGTTCTGCAGCAGGATGACACAGCAGGCATCAGACCGGGAGGGGAGCTGAGCCGATTAAGCTCTTCAGAAAGGGAATTGCTTGGGGGACTCAAGAACCAGGGGCAGCTAGCGGCCGAGGAAACGTGGACGCCTAGAACACGGCCACCGTTCCATGTCCTGGGCCAAGAATCGCAAGAACCATGGGGGTGGTGTGCGTACTGGGAGGACCGAGCGCTGTTATTTCACACTGCAGACTCCCTGGTCGGACTCACACTGCCTCCATGGTCGGACCCACACTCTGTCTCTATGGCCGGATGTCATGCTCTGCTTTCTAGTTTTCTTTTTTTTGCTTTTGCTTTTTGGGTCACCCCCAGCCAATGCACAGGGGTCCCTCCTGGCTCTGCACTCAGGAATTACTCCTGGCGATGCTGGAGGGACCCTATGGGATGCTGGGGATCGAACCCGGGTCGGCCACGTGCAAGGCAAACGCCCTCCCCGCTGTGCTATGGCTCCAGCCCCTGGTTTCTACTTTTCACCGTGGTCCAGGGGTTCAAGTTGCGGTGCTAGGACAGGGCTGAGCCCACGCCTCAGGTGACCTGTCCAAGCCCCAGGATCCAGGGAGAGCATGCTGGGTGCTAGGCCCCTGAATCGTATCCCGTGTGCAAGGACCCAGGAGTAGCCCCGAGCACAGCCTCACCCAGGAGGTGCAGGAGGCCAGGCTGGAAACCCCGCGGGAGAGGGGGGCATGTGGTTCGAGCTCCGGGGACTCACCCCCGAAACTTGGCAGGGAAGGGGGAGACCTCAACAGCCCTGGGGAGGGGCACCCATGCTGCGGGATGGGTGCAGGGACGCTGTGGAGGAGGGAACCAGTTTAGGCGCGGAGGGCGAGCGAGCCGGAGAGGCGCCCTCACGCCAAGGGTGGAGCAGGGCCCTTCCGGTACCCAGCTCCCACCCAGCCTGGCACGGGTCTGTCTCGTAGGCACCCATCCTCGTGGTCCCCGCCCAGAGGCAGCCCCGGGCCTGAAAGCCCGACAATTGCTTCCCCAGGCTCTGCTCACGGCCCAGAGGGAAGGACGGGGTCGAAGCCTCGGGCCTTTGCAGACCCCCGGGGATGAGAAGCCAGACTCCTCCTGGGGTGCCCCCACCGCGGGGTACTGGGACGAGCAGCCAGGAGACGGCCGGGCCCCGGGAGACGTAGATGTGGCGTGGCCCAGGGGGACGGCAGGACCCGCAGCGACCTCCCCGCCTGGCCTGGCTCTGCTCTTTTCTGCAACGCGATGCAGCACCAGCCAAGAGCAAAGGGGACAAGGAGGGTCCTTCTCTGGACTTGCAGACGCCCACCGGCAGGCCTCTGAGTCCGCGGGGAGGGGCGGGCAGGGCCGCGGCCCGGATGAACCGCGGCTCGGTCCCTGTCAGCGTGCGGACACACGATGATTTCCTTTCTATTTTTCAAGGCTTGAGTCATCCAGGTCAGCCCTGGCTTGGCACATCCACTTATTGTTCCTGCCAAGGGAGATGGTCGGATGGGAAGGTTGATTTATTTGATTTATTTGAGTACACGTGTGTCAACATCATCCTGGACCCAAAAAGAGGAAAAACAAAGAGTTCAGGAGACAAGCTGGCCGACGTGTGCTGTCCCCGGAGAGATTGCTTTCGTGGCTTTGGGACCAGATGTCAGCCGGTGACACGCCGTGGGGGTCTGGGGCTCAGTCAGGCCTTGGGAGAAGGGGCGGGGGGGGGGGAGCCGTCCACCTTGGGAGAAGGGGCGAGGTGGGCGAGCCCTCCACTGGGGTGGACAGAGACCCTTAGCATAAGCCGCAGCCAGTGCTCTGTCCCCAGGAGCTAACGCGGTGTGAGAGGCAGGCTGGCAGCCCGAGTGACCACTCCACCCTTCTTTCCCGCCCTGCACCATCTGACGACCAGGCCATCTCTGCGGCCACAGAGCCGCTGAGCTTGAAAGAAGAGTTCTCTGGGCCAAAGTCAGGGAGACCTCCCTGCCCCCCCCCCCACACACACACACACACTGGGCAGGGGAAGCCCCCTCCTCTCCTCCAGCCTGACCCGGGCTGGGGCGTCTGGTCCCCCCTCTGCAGGGCCTCCACTGCTCTAAGGAGGCTGACCTGCAAGCAGCCACCGGGAAACCTGGCTCCACGCAAGGCGGGGAAGGAACGAGAGGCGACTCCAGATCAATCAAGTCCAGTGTCGGCGCCGTGAGAACCGAGGGGACTGGCCCTGGGTCTCGGAGCAGGACAAGGTCTAAGAGGGAGTGACGGAGGAGACCCTTCAAACGGAGACCGGTCCATCCATTAGCTTAATCCTTTCCCTGCCAAGTAAGGAGAGAGCATCATTCGTTAGTATTAGTGAGGCCCAGCTGGGGGGAGCCGGCCGCGGTGGCCGCGGTGGCCGCAGGGGCCAGAGGGAGCCGTTTCAGGCCCGGCACGATGAGACTCCAGGGAAAGGTCGCCGCGGCCACGCAGCTGAGGATGGATGGGGAGAGAAGACGGCGGGTCTGGGCTGCCCGAGACTCGGACACGAGGAGGCCCAGCGACTGGGCAGAGGAGGCCGGGCTGCAGATCCTTGGAAGCGAGAGCTCCCTGCGTCTCTCCCTTCGAGCCGTCCCCCGCCAGAGCCCGGCATGGCCAGCTTTCCAGCAGGGCCCGCTCAGTCGAATTTCCTGGTCTCAAGCGCTAACAGTGTCTGGACGGATCGCTGTGGCCTCTCCCGCAGTCTGGCGGGGAAGGCCCAGGCGGCGGCTGCAGGCACTCGAGGATCGAGCTATTTTGGGGAGACAGTGAGGCAGAGCTTCCGTTTCTTCAGACCGGCCAGAATGTGCGGGCTCCGCTGTGGGCGGCTGTTGCTGGTGTCCCTCAGAAAAGGAGCACCCGGGGATTGGAGTGATAGCACAGCGTGGAGGGCGTTGGGCTGGCACGCGGCCGACCCGGGTTCGATTCCCAGCACCCCATATGGTCTCCTGAGCACCGCCAGGGGTGATTCCTGAGTGCAGAGCCAGGAGGAAGCCCGGTGCATTGCTGGGTGTGACCCAAAAAGAAAAAATAAAAAAAAAAGGGAGCAACCGTCTCTCCACAGGACCAGCGGCTTCCTGATTCCCAGGTTGCAGATGAGTCTATGGGAAAAGGCACTCAGAGTGACCAGGGAGGCCTTCAGGGGCTGGGAGACTGTGCAGTCGGCCGCCAGTGGAGCCCCAAGGGTGCCAGGATCCAAGGAGGCAGTCCCGGACGCTCACATTAACTGTCACCCGGTCTCGGCGGTCTCCCTGTGAGGGACCCACCCATCCATCCTCGAAACCTGTTCCTACCACGGTCTGACCTCAGAAGCACCCCCCCACACACACACACAGTGTGGAGCCCCCACCCAATGCGGACCCTCCCCATCTGCAGTAAGATGACAAGAAGACAGTGAGACACTTGTCTCCAAAAGTGACGTCCTGGACACCCCCACCCACCCGCCCAAATATTAGAAAGTGGGTCTGAAGCCCAAGAAACGGGACACCCAGGCTCGTGGAGCTCAGGGAGTATCTCAGAATCCCGTCCCAGGCCAAGAATGAGTCACAAAGAAAGCTTTTAAAATATAAAACCATCAACCTAGATTTCCATTCCAAGGAAGCACATACTTGGCCATGAGGGAATGCTTAAAAAAAAAAAAATCAGGCTTAAGCCACTTGACAGGAAAATAAAACAGCCAAGAAACATTCAAATGTAATGATTTACATCCTCCCCTCCCTCCCAATCTGGGTCAGGGCGTCCACCCAGATCCCGGCCAGCAAACACGTCCTCTCCCGCACCCCTGTGCCCGTGGGCAGTCCCCTGCCCTGGGCCTAGCTGACTCTGCCCCGTGCCCAGTTGCCGGGGGTCGCTTGGCGGGGTTGTTTGGGGGGAATCGGGAGGATTTTTCTTCCATTATTTATGTGTGCGAGCACTGTTCATTTCTCCCAAAGAAATGGAAGCTTGATTGATTTCCCGAACGTAAGGAAGAGATTGTCCTGCAATAAATATTTAAGGCTGACCAGGAAAGGCGGCCCACCGCCATCTGCTAAAACCCAAGCCCAGGAATTTGTTAAGCTTTGCAAGCGGAGGGAATGAATAACCATCGCAGGGAATATTTGCTCAGCGCCTGATGGTTTACAAAGGTTTTCACTTATCTCGTTTGATCTTCCCCCATCGGCCCGGAGAGGTAGACAGGGCAAGGATTAGAAGGATTATTATTATTTTTTTTAATCGCGCCTCTTTCTTTTTCTGTTGTGACAGATAAGGGCTGTTAACAGGCTTCGAGTCCGAGGCGGGAGGGCCGGGGGGCGCGGGCCGGGGAGGGGGCCCTCGTTCATTCATGCAAACCCAGGAGAGAAACAGCCCAGACAGCAGCAGGCCGTGCTGGGGGCGAAGATGCATAAAACGCGGTTCCCGGAGGGGGGCGGGAGGGACCACCGGCCGGGAGGGGCCCACGTGCCGCACGTGCTGGGCCTGGACCCGCCGCGAGGACCGGGCGGGGTTGGGGGCCGCGTGGGGGCGGGGGGGCGATGCCCCCGGCCGGGCGTTTTTCTTGTTTCATGTTCCCCTCGATTCCCCGGGGCTGTCCGGCCCACCGGCCCCGCGGGGCCACCGCTCCCTGCCCGGCCCGGGCCCAGCAGCCCGGCGGGGCGGAACCAAGGCGCGGGGCGCGCGCGCGGACGGACAGGAAGCGGCGGCGCACGCGGAAGCGCCGGGAGCGGCGGGCGCGGACCCCGCCCGGGACGCGTCGGGCCGCGGCGGGGCGGGGGGCGCGGGGGGCGCGGGGGGCGCGGGGGCCATGGCCACCCGGCGCCTGACCGACGCCTTCTTGCTGCTGCGGAACAACTGCATCCAGAGCCGGCAGCTGCTGGCCGAGCAAGTGAGTAGTCACAGCTCCTGCCGCCCTCCGCGCGCACGCAGCCGCGCCGCGGTGAGTCTGCCGGCGCCGTCCGTCCGTCCGTCCGTCCGTCCGCGCGTCCGTGCGTCTGTCCGTCCGCCCGCGCGCCCGTCGCCCGCGGGCCCCGCACCCGCACGCCGCGCCGCCGCCCCCACGCCCAGCAGCCGCCCCAGCCCAGCCGAGGCCCGGGAGGGGGGAGCGGGGCGGGGCGGGGCGGGCTGCCCCCCTCCCCGCCCCCCCTCCCCCTCGCCTCCCCTCCCCTCCCCTCCCCCTCCTCCCGCCCCTCCTCCCCTGCCCCCGCTCCCCCTCCCCTCCCCCTCCCGGGCCTGCCGCCCCCGCAGCCCCCCGTGGCCGCGCTGGGCCCTGAGCCCTGGGGTGGGGGGCTCTGGGGTGGGGGAGGGGGTGCCGGGACTGGGTGCATCGGGGGTTGGGGGGGCTTCTGGCCCACGCGGCCCGCACCGGAAACTGAGCTTTTCCCTCCACACCAACTTTCCCCCCAAGAAAACGCGGCGTGCGCGGGGGCAACTGGCCCCGCACGTCCGGGGCGCGCGCTGGTGCGCGCGCGTGGCACGGTCCAGGCCCGGACGGGGCGCGCGTGCGTTGTGCGTGTGTGCACGCGTGTGCGTGTGCGTGTGAGTGTGCATGTGCGTGCATGGGTGCCTGTGTGTGCCTGTGCGCGTGGGAGAGTGCAGGAGTGTGCGCGCGCGTGTGCGTTCCACGCCGCTCAGCCCGAGCCCAGGCCCAGGCCCAGGCCCAGGCCCAAGCCCAAGCCCGGTTGGAGAAGCTTCTAGAGCTTCTCGGTGGCCGTGCTCCGTTTCCGAGGGGGCCCGGCCCGGCGCCGGCGGGGCCCAGGGCGCCGCGTCCGCCAGACAAAGGCGGGTCCGGCCCCGCGCCCCGCGCCCCGACCGAGTCCCCCGAGCTCGGTCGCGGGCGCCCCGGGAGGTTTCGCACAGGAAACAGAAAGGAGCGCGGGGCGCGCGCGGAGGGAACGGCCGGTGCCAGCGCTAATTTTGAAAAGAACGTGCAGAAACGGGCCCGAGTCGGAGCCGGGCGCGAGCGGCGAGACTCCGGGGCACGCGCGCCCCGGCCGGGTGCAGCGGGATGGAAAACCCGCTTCTTCCCCAAACGCCCAGATTTCAGGCGACCGAGGGGGAAAAAAAAACAAGACACCAGGACGCGCGTTAATTTTTTTTTTTTAATTAAGTTATCCGGGTTTTCTTTGGTTGAAAAACATGGTTAGCTTTTGCATTTTTAATCGTTTAGGACTCCAAACACCCTGAACCGTTGGGTAACTTGATACTTTTTATTATTATTAATCGCTGAGGCAGACGCTCAGGGAAAAAAAAAAACCTGTTGTCTGATGCGGGCAGCTTTTTTCAAAGTGCCTCTCGGACGAACTGAATTTGAAAACGGTTTTTTAAATGAAGGATTAAAAGCTATCAATGAGCAAAGCCAAATTAAAAATCGCTAAAGCATACAATTTGGAAAAATAAAGCCAGAAATGTGTAGATGTATTTAGCCAACTCGGACGATTTCTTGGAAGGGAAGGATTTATAAAACTAAAAACACATTTATGTCAGAACATTAGAGACATTTCCTATCTATTACAACACTTTGAGTATTCCATTCTTTTGTTAGTCTGTATTTGTAATTCTTGCTTATATCATTCTGAGTAATCAGATCACTTAAGATATTCCTGTAGACAACTCAGAGTATCTTAGAAAGTAGATTTTTGTAATTAAGCAAAGATAGCTTGGCTGAATTCGAATTTAAAAATAAAATAAACACTTTCATATTTTAATTGCAGATATTGAAAACACCTGGCAAGTCAGACATTTCTGAAATGTGTGGCTTTTGGAAAGAATGTCCAGAAAATTTTGAACATTTCCATTTGAAATTTTAAACATTTCTAAAATGTTGAGGGATGTAGTTCTTTAGGTTTTCAGGGATGTAATCTTGAGATCGGTTACAGTTGCTTCCCGGGAACTTTCTGTAGGCAGAATCCAATGTAGCAAGATGTGACCACCCAGGGCACAATTGTTGCCACTTTTCTGGAAGTTGAGAAGCTGCTTAAAAAAACTTAGGGGGAGAAAACCCATGTCTAACACAATTTTCAAAAACTTCGGTGAATAATTAATGCGATGTTTTTCGCTGCAGATCTAGCTCATAAAAATTTTAAAACCTCATTTCTGACTTGTACATTCCCAAATCATGTAGCAAATCAAATAAAATTGTAACAAAGCGGTTTTGCCGCAGCTGTCACATTTAAATATGGACTGGGCTAGCAGCTGACTGCGGAATGACTTAATGAAGCTAATTACAATTAATTAAATTTGTTAATTTTCTTACAGAATTACTGAAAATGTTTAGTAGTGACACGGGGAGATACTTTTCTGCTACTGTAACCGTGTGAAAGTCTATACTTGGTCCTGTATTTAGTTTTTACACCCACTAAAGAAAATAAATAAGGCAGATTGATACTAGCTGTTCAGTCTTCTTGACTAATACGTGGGGGATATTATACCCTTTTACTCCTTCAAATGTGCTCTTGAAAAATAACAAAAAAACATATTTTTAAATTCTTAAAAACTGAAGAGACCCAATTGCCTGTGATAAGTTAAAAACATGAGTAAGCCAATTTAAAGAGACAAATTGCAGTTATTTATTGCAGCTCAGGTCATTTGAAAGGAAGTAAATGAAACTGGAGAATTTAAACTTAAAAATTCCGAACCAGAAATGTTTTAAGTTCTGCAAAGAAAAAACCTGTAGGAGATTTGGTGTCTTTTTATTTTGTTGTTGTTGTTGTTTTTTTTTTTTTTTTTTGCTCACACACATCTACATCTGAATTTCACATATTTTACATGTGAAATAAATGGATTTTTGTTTCCCTTTGAAACTTGAAATTTCACCTCCTTCTTGACAGGGGGAGAAAACTGGAAAGTGACAGTGGATCGTGTGTGTCTCACACCCTCGGGAGAGCTGGAAAGTGCCGGCAGATAGTGCGAAAGGCACCCCGCGGGCTGCAGCCCCGAGTTCAGAGTTCAGAGCTCCGTTTGCTCCTTTTATTCAGTTCAGGGGTTCTGGAGGTGCCTGGCGGTTGGGTCTGAGTTCTGCGGTGTTCGCATAGACGGGATCGGCACGAGGGCTCAGCTGAAAGGAGTTGCAGGAGGATGTGCAGCTCCAGGCCGGCCCCAGGGGCACCCGCAGCCGTTCAGCCCAGCGTCCGGGTCTCCCCGGGCCCTGCTGCCCGGCCGCGCTGACCCCTCCAGGGGCAGGAGGGGACATCTTGGCGGCTGCCCGTCCTCCCTCGTGCCTGCAGGAGGAGAGTCTCCGGCTCTGGTGGTCCTCTCTGCCCCCCGTGCCCCAGAGGTCCCGTTCCTAGCTCTTTCCCGAGGTCTCTGCCCTGGAAGTGATTTTTTTGTTGTTGTTGTTTTTTCCCCCTGCAGCCTGGTGCCCACGCGCTGCCTCTCTGCCCCGGGTCAGGGCGTGGGCCGATGAATGAACTTTCATTTTTCTGTTTCCAAGGCCAGCACCTAGAATTGACCCAGATTCCACTCAGTTGTGTTCTGGGCCGTGTGAATAGGAGTAAACACCAGTGGGTGAGAACGCAGCTTGGGCACTCGCAGCCAGCCCGGTCCAGGGTCGGCTGGGGGGTCCCCCCAGGCTGTCCCCGGGGTGCCACAGCACGGAATGAAGGGCAGGGTTCTTTGGGGCGCTCAGCGCCAGGGTTCAGGGCTGCTTCTCTGGGGCTGATTCAGGAAGTGCCTTAAATCTCCTGGACATCTCCTGCTCTGCTTGACTCGGGAGGTTGAATGAGGTGATGTGCAGGCCCCGTGGGTTCCGCAGTGCGTCTGTGCACACAAGCTGGCACGCGTGGCCTCTCCAGCCGGAGCCTTGCGGCCTCGGCTGTAATCTGGCCGGCGGTCTGAGGGCGCCAGCGCGGGTCCCCGGGGGCAGCTCTGCCCCGCACTGCAGTAGTGTGGCCGCGGCGGGCCAGGGGCCCCCACTCAAGCCTCCTCAGCCAGCCTGACTCTCAGTCGCCCGAGTAGGTCTGCAGAGTGAAATCATCATTCCCCCCAGGGTGCAGCGTCAGGCAAGGGTGGGAAGCTGGTGGCCTGCCTGCCCCGCCGAAGGATGGATGGGGGCGACTTGGCCAGTGTTTATGGCCTCATCGGTTCTTTGCTTTAAAATAATGCATAATCCATAAATGAAAGCTAAAGTTAATTGGTCTTAAATTAGTTTGGAACTAGCACATTATTTTTAATAAAACAGTGTGTGCTGAAGGGGCGGGGGGGCCTCGGAGATCAACTGTGGCTTGGAGAGGCCCAGGGCCCTGCCACTTGGGCGCCCGCAAGCTAGCTGGGGTGTTGCCCTTCCTCCCGGGGCTGCCCAGCCCCTAGCAGAGGTGACTCCATTGCCACCTCAGGACGCCTGTCAACGAGGGGGTGGGTTTGGTTCTGTTCTTTTGAGGCAGATAAGGCAAGTGAGGTTCAGCAGAGCAGAGGAGATGTGCTATTTGGGGGGGGGGGGCACTGAGGTCAGACTCCAGCAAACCGGGCGGCCAGGCCAGGCCTTGGGCTGTAGGTTCTGGAAAATGAAAAGAAACAGAAGGGGCAGGCGTGTTCCCGTGTGTGTGTGTGTGTGTGTGTGTGTGTGTCTGTCTGTCTGTCTGTGTGATTTTTTTTTCCTTTCTTACAATTGATTAACATTTTTTTTTTGCACTTAGCACTGTGGGCTGTCCACTGCAACTTGCATTCTGAAGGGTTTCAGTTTTCGTCTAGGCCGAATTTGTGGGGAAATCGGCCCCCTGTCTTTAGAATCCAAGTATGAAATCATTGTATATTTCTCTTCAGATGTATTTGCTTTTCTGCCCCTAAAGATTCCATTTAGGCAGCGGGGCTTGCTTGAGAATAAGGCCACTCTGTTGGATAAAAGAGAAGCAAACTTTTATTTTGGCAGTTACGGAAATAAAGTAAATATCACTATAGCATAGACCTGTATTTCCAACTCTCTCTGCTCAACTTTTCCAGACT